AAAGTTCACCAACATTTATTCATTGATTATTTTGCTAATCTGTACTGAGCCTACCTAAAAGATACCGATGATGAACATAATAATTCTTATAATTTTTTTTATGAATCTCTGCGAGTAATGGCAATAACCGAGATTCATGTCAGGATGTTTATAGATCTGTCGACTTTCGCGTTTTTCTTGTTCGATGTTCAAAGGTCAGTCAACGTCGCAGTCTGCAAGCTTACTGTTCATACCAATTATATGTATAGATATGTACATCAGTTTTCTTGGTGTTGCACTGTTTGCTTCAACCATTGACCAAACAGCTTCGTAACTGACTCTGCCCAATGTGTTAACGACCGTGTATGTTCTGTTGTCGATGGCAATCCAGTTGGCAACTTGGTACGCCCAAGTGCTATGCTTCAGATGAGCTACATGCCAGTACGTTGTCTCTTTCAGTTCTTAGACCAGCAGAATTCGCGTTCGACAATGAACTATCGCACTTGGAACATGGTACTGGAGGGTGACCTTTCACGTTTCTCTGTCCATCACTCTTTGCATTAGTAATAGTTTCCATTCAAGAGCCTTTTTAGTCGTTCAGCATTCGGAGCCATACATCACACCGGGAAGTACAGCAGTCAAAGAATTAGCTCTTTATTCGTGGACGTAGATAGTTCGCTATCGAACAGCAGTTTTTATTTGACTGAAACTTGTCAATGCCGCATTCCTTCTTCTACTGATCTTACCAGTGACGTTGTCGTGTAACATCCTCGTGTTAATAATGCTAATTAAAAGTTACGTCCTTATGCAGAAAGCGATGACTTTGGGGAATAAGTGTTTGGGACACAACAAACGGGTAAATAACGCTGGCAAGTTTTAGTCACAGAAAGTCCTTTCGCACACAGTTGACGTAACAAATTATGCTCGGCCAGTCTTTAAGGCGTCAATGAAATGTTCTATTGTTGCTCTGATCACGCATAGGACATTATCCGAAACATCAGCTGTGCGATCAAGACATTTTGAAGCAAAGCATTATTATGAAGAATTTGCCCGTTTATGACATATCAAGCAGTATCATGATTTTGCGCACAAGATACTGCTGCATATTAAACGTTACTTCCAGACTTTACATACTTACGAATTGATGTAAGCATACAGCATATTCTCATGTCGCTTTTCACGACACACGCCATCGATTTCATGCATACGCATTTCTGTCATTTATTTATGCATAGATAGAAAATTAAAAGAAAGCTTTTCCACGCCCGAAAGATTCATCATACTAAGTGCTTCAAAGTTTGACACGGATATATTGATATTAATTAGGAAACTACTAATGTCGTGTACGTAGTAAAATGACCTTCTATATCTTTCCATTCTTTCAGTCGTTTAATAACTGTCATGTCTAGAGTGGTATTCTTTACATATCGGTAGTCTAAAATAGATAGGCTATAATGTTCAAGCCGATAATACGGTGCTTTTACTGGATTATCATTCAGTTTTACTAAATTCTCAGCATTCTTGCTCCATGTGTACACGGCACTTATCATTTAGGCTGAGACTAGGGAGCAATGCGGTAAAAACTCCAGATTAGCATTCTGAACTTAAAGCAAACTAGTTTTCGCTTATACCGATATGGAAGGTTTATCACCTGAAATGTTAGCATGTACATGAATATTCATCACCACTTTATCACAGGGTGGAATTTTCATTCCATTAAATAACTACTCTGCTGCTGAATCTGTAAATTAAATTAAAAGATAATTTACAATTCAATTAAATGCAGGAAAATTTCATTAATTCAGAAACCTGAAAATGGAGTACTGTAGGTCTTTATCAATGCTGAAAAATTATAATTGCATCATCTGATGATAAATCACTAGTTTTGTAACCAGATACAGTGTTTTTTTGGCAAATAACAGATCATCTCAGGCAAAGTTTCGCTTTTAAGATCGAGCACGATGGAGACGCCTAATGCAAATCGAGGACCGTCGATCATGGTGTTAAAAGTGCAAATAAACGTGTTTGATCGCTTTGACCCGAAACATCAATGAAAAAATAAATCGTTTTAATAGGTGACAAATCGTCGGTGTAGGAGCGAAAGTTTTATTGAAAGTCAGCAGCGACGCATCGAACAACAAACGAATCAATCGGTTCATTTCTCACTTACTACGAAATGCGACCAGCACAGGGAGGCACAGCATGCCAAGGACGTAATTAAGCGAGAACCAAGTTTTGCGTCTGACAGCGATGTCTGGCTTTTGTCGGCAGACAAGTTTTACATCGATGCTGCTGTCAGATCGTGCTGCTGTCTCTGTCGATTGTTCCTGTCGAACGGAGGGTTCATGGGGTGGTTCGGGGCGGGGCACCGACAAATCTTTTTCGCATTCATCGGTCGCCCGCAGGCAGCGCCGTAGTCAGACAAACGGATTATTAACGCGACGGTAAGCCATCACAACGGTTACGGCTGAAATCCTAAAATTCGGCACGTCTGCAGGGGCAGACGGGTCGAAGGCACAAGAGGAGGAAAATCACGAGATGCTGCAAGCAACCGTATGGATTAGAGAATGGATTAAATGGAGGAAACAATGTGGTTCGCAAGCAACTCCGCGAAAATAAATACCGCAACGTCTGGTGGAATTGCACTGAAGTAAAATCTACAAACGTTGAAACGAAATATGGTTTTAGACCTTTCCTTAGAACTGGAACATAACCGCAAAATATGGCTCATCCTTCAGTACAATTTAATGCTCGGCGGGCAGGTGATTAATCGAATTATTTCAGTGCATGAAATAAAATTCAAATTAGAGAGAGATGGTTTCGGGAAGTCAGCACATATTGTCTGAGACTGGCTGCAAAAAACGAATCTGAAGAAGGCTGCAGAAAACGAACTGAGCCGAATTCTTCACCTCTACTATGAATGTAGGAACAGAACAATCAGTACTTCAGTGATACGACACTAAATTACCGTAGATTACGAAACATACATGGTTAGCAGCATAAAAAATAACCCTTTACTGAAAAGTGACCGGACGGTTCAAGTGATCTATCACTGACAATCAATATTATTACCAATGACTATAAGTGTCAGTTCAGTCAAAACTCGTCGGATCGACGTGTAGTAAAGAATTTTCGTTACGTTTTGATTATCATATTCGAAAATAAAATATTTATGTCCCTTACTGTATGATCGCAAAGCCTACTGCTAAACCAAAGGGATTTTACACCGTGGATTAGGTTCAGGTTGGGGTGTGGTAAAAACCAAACAATCAGTTAGTCTGAAATGCAATTTCTAACGGCCAAATAGAACAGATCTAAGTTACTGTGGTGTGCAACTTCCGTCTCGCGTGACGATGATAAAATGCAGAGGGATATGGATGACTGAAAAATACTTTGTTTTTCGTGGTGTCAACCCATTTGCTTCAAGTCATGCACAAAACTTGATCGATTTGAGTCTAAGAAGTCAGCTAAGTTAAAAATACAACAAATGCAGTACTAACTTAAGATTATTTCCTTATTAAAACTCAGTTTACTAGTTTGCATTCAGCCGGATAGGAGTTCAATAATTTTTTTTCTTGTTTTACCTGCTGCTAACCAGGAAGAACTTCGTATCAGATTCTGCCCGCAGATCATTCTTCTAGTAACTCTGACACTCGATCGGTATCAATTTGTTGCCACGCTTGAACTGTTTAATTATCACCTGAAATCATCAAATCGGAATATACCTTTCGTACTCCGCAGTTAATTACGACCCATCATTCAAACAAACTTGGCAGTAAATCTGATCCGTACGCATAATTGCTGTCGGCTGGGGATAGAGTGATTGGTAAATTTTTCTTCAGGTAAAAGAGGACATGTTACGGCAAACTGTGGAAAAGTACGAACGATTGATCGTCCGAAAAATGAAACAGTGCTATGGAGTAAAATTGGTTTTATTCATTTTCAAAGGTAGAAGCAAAAATTTGTCTGGGTAAAGTAACTAAACCGCTTGTATGTGTGCGACAATCATATGACTCATGGCCAATGGGGAATATGCAAGCAAGAGTTATTTTCCGAACGTAAATGAAAGGTTCCGTATGTTCAGGAGTCAAAATACATATTAGGAAAATGTATACTAGAGTCGATTAGAGTTTGACCACAGGATCTATATATATCGGAGATTACGAAACGTTTCTTTCTTCACCAGTTGCTGCGTGACTCATGCATCGTCTACGAGGAGCAAATTTGTGTGCACTGAGTTTCGCATTCGCCCGTCCGTCCGTCCCACTGAATAAGAATATGCCATGCCACCGGTCTCTTGGTAACTAATGAAACGGAATTGTACGTTTAGTCTACCTCATCGTAATCAACTACAACCTGCATAATATTGATCTTCGATGACTGGTCGACGTAGTCACCAGATCGAGAGCCTTGAGATTTGTGCTATGAACAATGGGATTAAATCAAAATACGAGTCAAGAAAGCAATTTAGACAATTTTTTTCATAGATGCAAAAATCGTGGAAAGAAAACTGGAAGCGTGGAAGCATCTAAAGAACAAGTTATCAAAGATAATCGAGGTAGAAGAAAAGAATTAAGAAAAAAATTATCATTCAGCCGATGGATCAACGTCGGCTTTCCGAAAAAGAACAGAGGTTAGAGGAATGAAAAGAATGCAAATTAAGCATATACGCAGCAGACAGACAGTCAAACAGACGAGGCTGACGAACAAGTTCACGCAACGAGGAGCGAGGCAAAAGTTGACTAGTTACAGTTATCGATTATTTGCTGAACGAGCGAAAATCGGTGCGTGCACCTCGACATACCTCTTCATTTCTTCTTTCTTTATCGCTAGTGCCTTTTCACCTCGTCGATGCGGCGAAACACGAGACGTGGGATTTTTGGCGAGGAAAAAGCAACCGAGATGCGCGCCGCTTAACCGCACGTCGTCATGGCTTCCGTTGCTGTTTCTTTTTAGATCACTTAGCCCTTGGCCCGAGAGCCCAAACATGGGAGTCTTTAACTCTCTCACACGTTTAGGTCTCAGGGAAAGAGCAGGCGACCAGGCAGACATGCGGGGAGGGCACACAGTCGCTGTCCACTGCAGCTGACTGGCCCATTGCCAATCGAGTGACCAGTGAGTGACCACTGTTCACAACCATTCCGTATGCGCAGTAAGACAGGGGACAAGGCTTGGTTCACCGATCGATATCCAATCGCCACGTCGTTCATCGCAGTTGAGCTTCGCAACACCGCTGCCACACACGACACACATAATGCAACAAAGATTTCTTGCCGAACGAACGAACAAGACGGCGACGGGCGGATAAAAAAACGGCACCACGCACTTCCGCTGCACCATTCAGCAGCGGCCTCTGCCAACCGGTCGGCCGTTAGTAGTCGGTCTAGACGGCGGCGCTGATGTCGATTCACCACTATCGATCGATCGATCGACCAATCGATACTGTTTGGTTGTCTGGGGGGATGAAGACCCATTAATCACCATCTACCGTAACGTAGAAAAGAGAGCAAGAAATAACCAATCTAAAAGAAAAACATCCCAATCTCTCAACTCACAAAGCTTCTTCGTCACCGATGCATGAAAATGCAGTCTTTCGATCAACGCATCATC